CACACACACACACACACACACACACACACACACACACACACACACACACACACACACACAAGCACAAGCACAAGCACAAGCAAGTCTGTATGTCGTTCTCTTTGCACCTGGATGGATACTTGGGCACTGTGCGGATGTGAGTTTTTGTTTGGCCACGAGATCTTCACGAGGAGGCTGAGGGTGTACTCACACGAGGACTGTCCTGGATGCATCTGACCGCTCTTACGCCCCGTCTTGCATGTTTCTGACTGCAATTGCATCCAGATTCCGGAGCTCATTCCCAAAAAGTCCTCGGGTGACTATGCCCTAAGACATTGTTCGCTGTGGGTGTCATTCCCCAGGGCTTCTGTTCCACAGCACATGGAAAAGGGCAGGCCTCCAGGTCGCTTCAAGCAGTGGCACTCCTGGTGTTGGGAGAGGGTTGTGTGGACCTCATGGCAGCAGGCGGGATTTGTGGAGTGTTCGTGGAGGGGTTTAGAGGGGTGGGTGAGATTTCCATGGGCTGAGTGGACGAGGTCAGTTGGTACATCCCTGAAGTGTCGAAATACAGACCTGAGTTCGAATGCCAGTTGAAGAAGACGAGTAAAATACAAAAATTGTGAATTACGTAGGGTCGGACGGTCAGTTCAATGATCGTATCTCATGGACGTCGCCCTTTATAAAAAATGGACCCTCTGGGGGATAGTCTAGTGCTGTATCTGGTGGGGATCCAATTGCTTCACAAATCTTCCTGGCAGTTCCTGCTACGAATGTTGTGCTCTTTGCTGGAGCTGCCTCCAGCAGCACTGACATGTAGGGCGGATCCAATTGCTTCACAAATCTTCCTGGCAGTTCCTGCTATGAATGTTGTGCTCTTTGCTGGCGCTGCCTCCAGCATGGCTGACATGTAGGGCATACTCACACTAGGAGGTGCTACGCTCTCTTTGTTGTAGGGACAGGGTTTTGATTTGGCAACTAGGAGGTCTATTCTGATGTTGGACTCTGCTTCCAGTATACCAGTGGACCCTCGGCGGGTTTTGAGCCTACGCGACCGGACTTTAGGTAGGACTGTAATTTTTACATTTGTGTTTCAATTTTCCCATACGTAGGCCCGAGTTACGTTCAAGATGACGAGGGTTCTCCTATCATGGGCTGGGTAGCAGATTAACTTTGTACCCGCGCCCATATTTTTTTTGTCCCTATTGGGAGTTTGTCATGTTGGGAGTAGGCTGTGGACCATAGCATGGTTTTGAGGAAGTCGTACCAGTTAGTAGTCGCATCACACACTATATTAGGAGTAGCATCTATAGGTTAGTCCTCTTGGTGCGGCGCTGCCCTCGACACCGTTGTCCGGACGACGACCAAGAGCGTAGCACCCGTCTGGTGTGAGCGCACATGCGCTACTTCTTGGTGTGAGAGCACATGCGCTACTTGTCTGCTGTCTTTACAGTATTCTTGTACCATCATACTATGCGTACTGCACATGTGAACTTGCCCGGGGATGACATGCCGGTGAAAGAGTGAGCGTGGGAACCTTGTTTGGTTGACTAACTACTACGGAAGAGGATCTGTCTGAGCAGAGTGTGTGGATGTTTCACGTACAACGTGGATCTCCTGCTCGAGTATTTGAAGATGTCAACTGCGGATCAGCGCGAGGAGGGTGGCAGCTATCGTGGAGAGGGCCGCGAACGTGAGGATCGTGATCGCGACGATCGACGTGAAGATGGCGATCGAGGCGAACGAAGACGACACCTACCCACCTGCTACAACTGTCACGAGGTTGGCCACTATGGCAACCAATGTTTGAGGCCAAGGCGATATGGGGGACAATTCTCGATCGTCTTGAAAAAGTGACTGGAGGCGTGAACCTCCCGTACAGCTGGACCCGGTTATCAAGCAACAGATCAGCGAGCTTGGCCGGAGTGTGGCCTACATGCAGAAACTTTCGAGGAGGAACGCGATGAACGTGAAGCTAAAGCACGCAGGAAGCTTGAGAAGGAGGAAGCTAAACGGCGGGAATTGGCGATGAAGGAACAAGAAGAAGAGGAACGTCGCATTCATGAGATTAAGGCCCAGAAGAAGAAGGAGAAGAGGAGGCTTGAAGCAGAGAGGCGTGCCGAACTAAAGGAGTTGGGGATGCACCTTACGATGCAAGTGAGTGAGATGGAGGACAAGTCCGTCCATCGTATGCACCAAGTGGTGGCGGAGTTTCGGCCTGTTCCCTTGGACAAAGGGAAACGCGCAATGTATTCGGAAGATGACGATTATAGCGGCCAAGATAGTGATACAAGTGTTACTCAAGAGTTGTGCGAGCGGACGACCGAACTCCATATCACAGAGAAACGGAAGCGTGGACCTGAACGGGCGGTCGGCGATAGGCCTCCGATGGAATCACCTGCAAAGCGGACACCACGGCGGGCAAACAGGCAGGTTGCCTTCACTGGGCGTATGATGAGTGCACGGACTAAAGTGGTCAAATCTCCTGGTTCGGCCAAGCGCAAGACTCCGGTCAAGACTCCGCTATCTAAACGGAAAGGACGCGCGACCTTGCTCACACCGGGTGACAAGGGAGCTACGGCAAGGTAGCTCACACCGGGTGCCTCTACACCGGGTGACAAGGGAGTTATGGCAAGGTATCGCTACCGCAACGCGGTTATGGCGGACCTTAAGCGATTGGACGCCAGTGAGTTGCAGAGAATATGTAAAGAGGAAGGGATTCCATATGAAGGTAAAGTTCATGCGATTTTTGACATTGCCGATAATCGTACATACCTTAAATTTGATGACGAGCACGTACCGTTGAATGTTGAGCCAATCCAGATAGAGGAATCTGTGACTGCCAAGGAGGCAACTGGGACGAAGGACGATGAGGTGGTATGATGTGATCTACGAGTGCCTCACTTGTGGGTGTTGTGTAAATTTCTTACACATGCGCTGTAATTCTTGTATAGTGGACTCTAGGATCGATGGACTGCTTTGTACGGTAGTGCTTTTGCTTGCGTTGTGGGATGAAATTTCGTTGGTTGAGGAAATTTGTACCCAGTTGGTTGAACCCACATGCACGACATGGGGTAGAATTCGTTAAGCTGAGTTGATGTGTATATACTGCGGTGTCTCCATTTTGTAAGCACTTTTACATAGGAAAACCTACACGCACTCTGGATATTCGCTGGCAGGAGCATTTGTAATTTTGTATGTATGTCGTAAACGAAACCCTTCGCACTTTCACCGGTGGTTGAACTCGTTTGGTTCGGGGAATTATATCCTACTACCCATTGGCATACTAGGGGGCGATAATTTAACCAAATTAGAATCTGTCTATATCCATCGTTTGTCCCCATTCTTGAACACCTCCGGGTGTAACAAGAACCCTCGCAAATCTGCGCGTAGGAAGAAACCGGGTAAATGTGAACGTGCACGTGGTCGGAGGCAATTAGTTTCAGGGGATATTGTCCCGCCCTTGACCCCGATTAAATACAGAATACACGGCTCTTCAAACTGGGATATAGATTTCTACAACTTGTTTGACCAGACGTTGACTAAGGGGATCTCTGGAATTACTGTTACTTCAGAAGGGGGTAATGGCTGGTTACCAAATTGGCATAAATTGATTAAAGTATTTGGGGAAACGAAACTGATTTTCAGCAAGCACCAAGTGCGCCTAAAAGATGGTCAAACTTTGATTGAGGATGTTGCTACCTTTGTGATTTCGCGTGTGAGCAAATGGAAACCACGTTGTAATTTTCTCAAGCGTCTATTGATCGGGATTCTAAAAAATCCCAGTAAGCTAAGTGAATTGCATTCTTGGGGGATTAAAGCCTTTTTGCGCTTGTATAATGTGGTGAAAGATTTTTCACACAAGTCCACTAGGAAATACCTACGCAGGTTGATTTCTCGTCGTTTTCTTGAATACTTTGGGCTCAGCCTTAATGCAGACCTAGTCTTTCGTATCAAATTTGATGATCGYGTACGTATCAATGAAGTTCGGAAACTCGCAAATGATGCTCTAATAGATTGTGCACTACCGGTGTGTTTCAAACACAAGATCAGGAAGAAGATGCGGATTGTAGGTACTAAGAACCCTACATTTGGTGACGTATTGCACAACATGTGCAGTCATTCGACGCGCACTATGCTTACCTGCTGCTGTGCAGGTTCGCCCTTTCCAAAAATAGGGCCACGTGAACTTCCGCCTCTGTGACTTGACCGATATCACCATTACTAGCTAATGCTAATAACATACCATTAGCCTGTATGCAGGATCGACTAGCTCTGCTATGCGAAGATCTGACCCTTGGCTTTCAAGGGTGGAAAAATCATCRGGGCAATCCGCCGATTTTTGATCTGCAAGGATTAAAAAAATGTTCCATCGACTCCGATGCTTCTTGTAGCGCGACACACCTCAGTTTGGATGAAGTTTTAGCCTTGAAAGGTAGGCTCGAAGGGCTGGTTGTTACAGCGGTTGACCGCAACTCAGGTGAGACGGCGGTGATATGCCCGTCTACATATTTCGATGCGATGATGAAGACTTTTGTGTTGAACTCGGGCTGGTTACAGCGGTTGACCGCAACTCAGGTGAGACGGCGGTGATGTGCCCGTCTACATATTTCGATGCGATGATGAAGACTTTTGTGTTGAACTCGGGGTACCGTATTACGGAGCTTTCTCCGACATCATTGAGGAATTATCGGAGGAGGTGGATAGACTTGGTCTGACAAAATTCGCAAGGTTGGATATGAATGGAACGTTTGGGAATGCATATATTCTTCCCAAACATAAAGATCTCGGTCGTTTCAGACCGATCTGCCCATCTTACGCTGATCCGTTGACCTGAACTGGTAGACTTGTTTCGAAAGGTCTCAATCATCTGTTGGCGACTATTCTTGAGCGATGGCATTTCAACTGTCACACGGTCTCTGGCCTGGCTTCCAAACTTGAGATCGCCAATAAAAAGATGGATAAGCTCAGCATTGAGCATACAGTCTCAACGTACACCTTTGATATTAAAGATATGTTTAGTAAACTGCCTCATGCTGAGATTGTTCGTGTCGTGGACTGGTTGGTTGACTTTCACCACCGTAAATCGAGAGGGTTTGTGCGAGTTAATACCCATGGTAAGGGTGCCAGCTTCAGTCGGACGGCTGGAGCGGATCATTGGGCTACACTGGATCTAAGTGATATGCAGTCATTCATTCGAGTTGATATCTTTAATACCTACTTTTTTGCCACAGGGTTTTTCTTGAAACAGGTGCTTGGCATCCCAATGGGAAAAAGCACCAGCTCATCGCTGGCATGCGCGATGTGTGCGTTTGCAAAATACAAACTTATTGGGAACATGAAGGCATCTGCGAAATACATGTCTGGGATAAGATTGATGGACAATGTACTATTAGCATTGAGTTGTAAAGATGAGACTACAAGAACCGAATTACTGGAAGCATTCGTGTGTGAGTGAGGACGCTGCTGAGGGCAGCGCCATAGCCCAACCCCCATAGCTGGCTGAGGCTTGGACTACAGTGTGGCGCAGGGGTGGTCTTCAGGTGTACAGAGCGAAGACGTGGGTGTAAGACGAGGGAGAGAGAGAAGGATGATGATGATGATGATGTGAGGGTGACAATGCTTAACTACGGGCGACATCTTCAAGTACTTCGTTGGCTGCTAACATCAACAGTTGCATTGTCAGTTAGTAGGCTAGTAGTAGTTGTGTAGGGAGTAGGCTGGGCGCTGAGAGCCAAATAGGGAAATAGGCCTGAACACTTACGTTGGTGGTGGCGAGACGCCGGCAGCAGCCCACAAGTGTCCGCTCCAGCAGCGCTGCCGCTAGCATGCAAGTGCCCGATTACCCCGCCAGGCAGTGAGCTCTTTCCTGGCTGGCCTGGGCCTCTGCCCAGAAGCTTCCAGTAGGCCCCAGGCGGTTGTTCCTCCGATGATGATGCTGGGCCTCCGTTCGGTTGGGCCTCCCAACTGCCTGTGTATAAGGCTGCGATTCTCGCCCAGGGCCTGCATTTTTGGAAAGGCCTAGAAGGCCGTGGAATGTCTTGCTGCTCGGCCTGTGTTTCCTTCAACCAACTGGCGCGTCGAAACTGCCTGGACCCCAAATACGAAGTTGACAACTAAGGGCCTCTTGTGATTTGTTAGGCCCGCCTTCACTTAGGGCGGGCGCATTTGTAGCAGGGGCCCCTTAGGCCTGGCGAGGGCACAGATCGTCGCATTCCCTCCTTTTCTTCGATAGTCCTCTGAGAAGTCTTCTAATCTGCAGGCACTTGAATTCTCTTTCATAGCCTGCAATAACTTGAGGTGTTGTTCGCATGAGTTCTTCTCTGGTGAACCACCGATCTTTGCTGGGATCCAGATGATGTCTGAATTTGACACGGTATTTCATTCTTGGCTTAGGAGGGCGGCCTTTGCCCGGCGGTTTAGGCATTGGCATCACTCGATGCTCCACGATTTCGTCGATGTCGATGGGGGCAGCATTGACCGTCTGGAAGGAAACTGTGCAGTTTCTACGAAAGGTGCCAGCGTTGATGTGTGAAAAACTGGGTGTGTACGTAGACGAGGTGGGACGTGAATCACATAAGAAGGTCTGTCTACCTGATCCCCCACTATATCTAGGACCTCCCAGGGACCGAAGTACTGTGGCATTAGTTTTCTAGATATTCCCAGTTCCTGTCCCAGTTCATATGACTTTACCCAGACCCTGTCCCCTACCTGAAAGTTAGAAGGTCGTCTGTGTTTGTTCTCAGATGCAATCATAGCATCTTGAGATTTCCTCATGTGCTCAACGGCCTGCTGCAGCATCTGTTCGTACTTGACAGCAAGTTCTACGCTGCCTGGCTGTGTGTCCGATTTTGAATTCAACGCGGGTTCCGCGTTGAAAAATTCAACGCGCGTTGAATTCGCGTTAAACTCCCGTTCAAACGCGTGTTGCACGCGAATTAACGGGTCCGCGATGATTTTTTTCCTGGGCTAAAAATTATCCAAAAAACAAAAAAAAAATATGGGGTTGTACGTTTTTTTGAGGACTACAACCCTGTATTTTTATTTTTATTTTTATTTTTTGATGTGTAAATATATTTTTAAAAAATCAAAAACATAAAAACACAATGAAAAAAACAAAAACTAAAAGGAAATGAGTGTTTTTGTTTTGGGTTTAAGGGCTAAAACAAAAACAGAAAAACAAATAAAAAATATAGGGTTGTAGATCTTTCAAAGATGTACAACARTTTATTTTTTATTTTATTTTTTTAGAACTTCGTGTATTTAAAAAAAAAATCAAAACCATAAAAAGCAAATAAAAAAAAGGAAAAAAAGACACACACACACACAAAATTGGGCCTGTAGCAGGTTGCATGAGTCTGGCGTCAGTTGGTTGAGAGAACCCGGGCCCTGGGCCGCCTGTGTGAATGTATGGAAAGCAGGCCCTGGGCTGGATATGGGTACCGGGCCAAACACAGGCCAAAGGCAGTTGGGGGCATGCAACCACCTCAGGCCCAAGGCCTGTTCTCGTTCGTGCTGGGCCTCAGGCTACCGGGGCCTACTGGAAGCTTCCTGGGACTGAACACAGGCAGGCCACTTCGATATAGCAAAGGGCCTGCCTGCTGCGTAAGCGCTGCCGCGCTGTAGCTCGCTGGCACTCATGCGCTCACGGGCGAGCGGGAAGGAGCAGGCAGCCATAGCCGAGCTGCGCTGCTGTAAGCTGGGTGTGGCGCAGGGTGGTCCTTGGGTGCAAGTGGCATCTGTGTGTTGGGGAACGAGGTTGTGAGTAAGGCGAGAGACATACCTGGTGCTGGAAGCGTGCGACATTGGTCGCTGTATGCTCGTACTTCCGGAAAGCTGTTGTCGTCATCATTCGACATTGTAGTCTAGGCTAGATAGGATCTGCCATTTGTAGTCTGGGCGCCGAGCGCCAGATAGGATATCAACATTGGTTCTTCATTGATGATGATGATGAGACTTTACCGGCATTGTCAATTCTGAGCTCTTGGTGTCTTCTTATTTGGTGAAATGATGCAATTCTGCTGTTGGTTCGAGGTCCCGACTATCTGGTCTTGTGTATATGATGTTGTTTGATTGCTGAAGTTCGCTATTGCTCATCTTCCTTGCACAGTAGAAGAGAAAGAAAAAAAAAAACACAGACCCAAATCGCCCGCCTAAACCCATATCACCCGCCCCCAGTTTTCAACGGGAAAAAACTATATCCCTCAAAAGGGAAACAATGGACACACGCCAACAATCATGCACACACACACACACACACAC